CTGTCCCCCAATTAACCATTAGGCATGACAGAGCCCTGCTTCCCTGGGGATGGCTGAACACCTGCCTGCCCATGGGAAGTGGTGAATGAATTCCTTCCTTTGCTTTGCTTGTGCGCGCGGCTTTTGCTTTACCTATTAAACTGTCTTTATCTCAACCCACGAGTTTTCTCACTTTAACTTTTCCAATTCTCTTTCCCATCCCAATGGGGGGGAAGTGAACGAGCAGCTGCATGGTGCTCAGCTGCCAGCTGGGGTAAAACCACAACAGGCAGGTATCTAAGAACTCCAGCCATTGTTTGACATTTAAGCTAAGTAGCCAGCCATGAGCAGTGGCTTTAGCTAAACTGTCACCTGGAAACAACATGCAAAATGCCAGCAGACATGCAAAGGAACTCTACAGCATTTGCTCACAGCTTTGACACTGTGGCATACACTTTCCTGATGTGTTGCACTGACTGTGGAGGTCAACTGCAAGTGCAGAACAAGTCACTACCTGAAAAATTCTGGCACAGTAAGAACATTCATGATCTCATTTCAGTACAGTTAGGCTGCTTTTCTTAGGCTAGGCAGGAGACAGTTTAAAGAACTAAGAATTCAACTCTAGGATGGATTCCTGTTCAAAACCACCTCTCCTCTCAGAACAATTAAAGGCAGCCTTTGCAACCCTTATCTCTGCATCTTCCACTGCTCCAGCATGAACGAGAATGCATTGCTACCAGTACATGTGCCATAGTAATGCCTTTACTTCTATCCAGGGAATTCTAATCCTAAAGAGAGAACCCTGGAGCTAGAGAAATGAGAAGTCAGATACTTTTAAGATAACATTTTAGTCAGGGTTAGAGAAGGTCAAAATGCTTCACTTCATTATTTCAACATTTTTTGAGAGGTATCACAATGTTTCATGTCCACACCACTGAATTTATGTGTATATATATATTGCTATTAAATGTTTTAGCTTTTTATGTAATGAAGTAGTAAAGAGGCCAGAATGTAGGACTTGGGTATTCTCATGTTGCAGGAGTTTTTGGCAATTTTTACCTCTAAAAATTGCCCAAAAGGTGACAGCCTTAAAATCTTGTTCTTATCCAACTTTCTCCATTAAGCATGCATATTAAACATTTTTGCTTTGCAGTAGTATTTCCCAGCATCTCCCCATCTGTCTGGTTTCAGAATCACTTCCTTTTTGCTGTTCTCCCTTTTTCTGGCACATTTTCATGTTTGTTTTCACAGTGTATTTCCAATAGAAAAATCTATATCCCAATGCAGATCATATACCATTGATCCCACACCAAGTGATTTCACTGTGAACACAGGAAACTAATGATAAAGTAGAAATGCCAGCATTTGATTTATACACTCATGTTGGTGTTGCAAGCTAGTACAAGTCTACCACTCTCAAATATTTTTCCACTAAAGGCAATGTAATCTCTAGCTTCTAGAGGTAAGCTGCATTTAAAAAAATCACAGCTGCATTTGATCCTTCCATTTACTAAAATCTCTACTTAATTATATCCAGTAGCTTTGTGCATGGCATCTTTTCCTCAGTACTCAGTGGCCTGAAAGCCTCAAATGCTCAGGTTCACCTTGAGCACCAAAGTCAATAAACATGCAAATACACCCAACACAGCCCACCCTTTTTTCTTCCCAACTCCCAAGAAGTATTTGGCTGTGCTGACAAGTGACTTCAAAAC